TTCCTCTGGTGGAGATGATCATAGCCACAGAATCAGCCATCCGCAACAACTAATTGAAAGAAGGTGAAGCAGAACAACTCAGAATCAAAGTTTCAGCCTGCCTCAGCAATGCCAAACCACCACCTTCCAACGTCAGTTGAGAGGAAAGGGATGCACTCACCACTCTTAGCAAGGACAAAAACATCATCATTCTCCCAGCAGACAAAGGAAGGTGCACAGTGATTTTGAACCAGAAAGACTATCTTGGGAAAGTTATGACACTCCTTAATGACTTAACCACTTATGAACCTCTGAAAAGAGATCCAGGAAGTTTTTACAAGAAGAAGTTAATAGATTGTCTGAAAGATTTGGAGCAGGACAAGGCTATTGATCGTATTGTGTACCACAGACTGTACCCAGGGGAGGACACACCTAGTCTGTATGGTTTATCTAAATTCACAAACAAGGTGCACCTTTAAGACCAATTGTTAGCATGATTAACTCTGTCACTTACAATGTTTCCAAATATCTGGCGTCTGTACTCATGAGGAACAACTTCTACCCTGAGGCTGTTAGACTCATGAATCTCTAACTAGAATAATCACTGTGAAAAACCATATCATGTTGCTGCTGATCTGTTGATGTTGATGTGTTCATGCGTGCACATCTGCTCACAGACTCATGTTCATGTTTGTGCTGATGTTCAATGTTTTTATGTTATGAGTGCTTAGTGTATATTTAGTTGATGTTTTTCTTAGTTCATATCTTAGATGTTATTACTGTTTTTCTTATACATTTTATTGTTGGATGTAACTGGGACCCTGTGTACATAATTTCGCTCCACCACATGTACCACATGAGGTGCGAATGACAATAAAGAAACTCTGACTCTGACTCATCCCTTTAGTTGGCAGCTCAGAACACCACATACAGAACACCATGGACTTTGTGGATAAGGTGAGGGATGTCATCATGGAGACTGATGAAACAATGGTCTCTTTTGATGTCACATCTCTCTTTATGTGCATTCCTGTTGATGATGCAGTAGATAGAGGTGGTCAGTTTAAGGCCCTGTACACACGTAGCCGGATATCAGGAAAACCGAATAGTTTATCATGCGGTGTGGCCTTTCATCCACACGTGAACTCCGGTTGATGTAACTATAAACGAATAATAACAAAAACTCCGACCAAAGTGGAGATTTGAGAAATCTCCTCTTTCGGGTTTGCGTGTGGACTTTCGGAGCCTGAGATATGCGCATTATGTCTGCGACAGATGGTGCAGCGCGGCGCTGACGTCACATGTGCGACAATTGTTTTTGTTTGCCCATTCATTCGGAGGGAAAATGACTGCGTTTAGGGAAGTACTAATTGTAACGCTGGTTCAGGCAATTTTTGCTTGCTTGTTTTTACAAGCACAACTCGCGGTCTGTCCACACAAACGAACCTCCAGGCGCCATGATTCAATACTAACAGGAAGTTGTGGTTGCTTTGAAGGGTTGTGATTGGCTGATATACGTTTCACCTTTGCACTACACTGCCTCCTATGGGTTGGGCATATTCTTTACAACGCTCTGTGGTGAACATCACCGGGTTCATGTAGACGATCATTTTCTCTATCCGAACATGTATGTACGGCAATATTTTTTTGCGCAGATATTCGTTTTTTCAAACACCAGGCTACGTGTGTACAGGGCCTAAGATTAAAATCATACACCACTCTGAGCAGCAGGACCACGCTTTCCACAGAACAACTGTGTTCAACTCTTGAAACTGTGCCTGCAGTCAACCTACTTCACATATGGGGAGCAATATTATAGGCAGAAACATGGGTGTGCTATGGGGTCTCCAGTTTCTCCTATTGTTTCCAACCTGTACATGGAGGAGGTAGAAAAGAGAGCCTTGACATCCTTTTCAGGGACACCACCAAGTCATTGGTTCAGGTATGTTGACGACACCTGGGTTAAAATTAAATCTCAGGAAGGCCCACATTTTATTGACCACATCAACTCTGTGAATAAATACATCAAGTTCACACGAGAAGATGTAAAAAATGGCAGGTTGGCTTTCTTGGACTGTGAGGTCTCAGTCTCTGATAGAGGACATTTGCAAACCAAGGTGTACCGCAAACACACCCACACAGACCAGTATTTGCAGTTTGACTCCCATCACCCTTTGGAGCACAAGTTAGGACTCATCAGGACTCTTGTCACAAAACAGACAGCATCCCCACTAACTCAGTAGCCAGGCAGAAGGAGAAATCCTACACAAGACAGGCTCTAGAGCAATGTGGATATCCTAACTGGGCCTTCCTGAAAGCAGAGAAGAAACCCAAACAGGACTCCATTCAGCCATCAGGTGAAATGAAGGAACCCAGACCAGTGGTCATTCCGTATGTTGAGGGAGTATCAGAGAAACTGAGACGTTTATTTTCCAAACATAACGTCCCAGTGGCTTTTAAACCCCAAAATACATTACGGCAAAGACTGGTTCATCCCAAAGATCCAGTCCCCCGGCACAAACGGAGTAATATTGTGTATGCTGTTCAGTGTCAGGAGGGCTGTGATCAGTCTTACATCGGGGAAACAACAGCCACTGGCCAAAAGGATGGCCCAGCACAGAAGATCAACATCATCAGGCCAGGATTCTGCGGTCTACACTCATCTCCAGGCCAGCGGTCACTCTTTCAGGGTCGAAGATGTTCACATCCTGGACAGAGAGGAACGATGGTTTGAGAGAGGAGTAAAGGAGGCCATCTTTGTGAAAAGAAATCGTCCATCGGGTGAAGGCGTCCGGGTTCAACTGTCCCCCTCTTACAATGCTGTTATTCCTAGTATCACTCAGCCCTCTGTGAATAATAAACAGCCATCAGTGTGCTAATGATCCGTTGTTAGGCTGATGGTCCTTCTTGACCATGTGAGCAGCTGGTTTTGGTTGTCAGCAGCAAACTGGTTTATCCACTCTGAGAAGGTGCTATTTAAGAGACTGAGCTGAATACAGCACCTCAGACTGAGGAAGTCTTTCAGATGAAAGACGAAACGTATCTACATTTTTTCTGCTTTGTTTTGTTTTTTTGAATGTCCAGAGGACCAGATTGAACTTTTTTAGATTAATTTACTGTAGTTGATGCAGTTTTGCTAACTCGTGCTGAGTACAGTGGATATTACAACTATAACCACCCTCATGTAAAGTGCATTGATGCTACATTAAAGCTAGCTTATGAAGCTAACAAATCTCTCTGCTCCCTTCACTTGTTTCAAAAGAGTACTCGGTTTATGTCAGTCCTTCTCAAATAGTGGGGCGTCCCGGGGGGGCCTGGGGCAATGCCAGGGGGGGGGGGGCGCATGTGACCCTAGAAAACATGCTTTTTTTTGCCGCAGGGAGTAGTTCTTTTTTTTTTTTTTTTCCCCCACCATTCTAATTTTGTCGCATGCATTCCCAATAATAAAGTTATGAACAAATATGGTTGCCTTGTCGTTTTGGGAGCCATGCATGAACCGTGTCTCTCTCCTCTGCTGCTGCCACGATAAATAAACTCCGACCGTCACCTCCTCCGTCCTCCGCTGCTGTTTTTATGTCCATGTGCTCTGGATGTCACTCACAGCGTGCATGCAACAAAGAGTAAACTGATGCGAGAGCGACACCTCTTTCCCCTTTTATGTTGACAAAATGTTTGTTTTATCGATGAGTTTGTCAAAGCACAATTTATAGAAGTAATGTTTTATACATGTTAGGACTATTCTTTGCTGACAAAGTTAATTCACCTCCTCAGTTTAACTGCTTTTTTTAATGCTCTGGACTCTTGTCAATTCACAGCATGCAGGTGACAAAGAGTAAACTCAAAGCGAGAGGGTTACCTGCCCCCTCTTTCCTCTTTCGCGTTAACAATTTTTTTTGTTTTATCGATGAGTGTGCTCATTGATCCTGACTTTCTCATTTTGATTTAAAAACAATTTATAACAATTTTATAAACACTATTAACAGTCGCTGCGGAGAGTTGGGGGTGGGGGTGCGCAAAATGTTTACTTCTTCCTTGGGGGGGAAAAAACAGAAAATAATTGAGAAGCACTGGTTTATATTTACTTTGAAGTAAACATAAACAAACAACAACAGTGTTCCGCCTGACCTAATGCCAGAAGGGCTTGTATAAACAATCCACTGCATGAGGATCTACCAGCCTGTCTCTGTCTGCCTGCCTGCCTGTCTGTCTGTCTGTCTTATGGAGTGTTGTATAATGTTTTGGTTGTGTTAACCGAGTCTGATGAATATTAATCTAGGTGTTTTCTCAGATGTTGCAGACTAAAGCCTCTAATTGAAATCAAGACTAAAATAGGATTCAAACAGACACAAGCTGATTTATTTCTGACAGACTCATGTCTAAAGTTGTTTTTGTTGTTCTTCTTGGCAGTCAATGCAGCAGACAACAAACAAAGGGACAAGAACATGACAGCCATCAAGATCACCATTGACCCGTAAGTTAAACCCTCACTCGATCACCAAATAAAGCACATTTTCATCCAGAACCATTTGGATCATCCAGAACTCATAAAGGAAAACAGCTGTTAGCGTCTCACTAATCTTTGCTGTGTATTAAAAAGGCACTGTTCATATTTAGCTTTATGTGCTGTATCTTTGAGTATCTAAAAAAAGTTAAATCTGGTCCTCTGGACATTCAAAAAAAACAAAACAAAGCAAAGCAAAACAACAAAAAAATGTAGAAACGTTTCGTCTCTCATCCGAGAGACTTCCTCAGTCTGAGGTGCTGTATTCAGCTCAGTCTCTTAAATAGCACCGTCTCAGAGTGGATCAACCAGTTTTGCTGCTGACAACCAAAACCAGCTGATCACATGCTCAAGAAGGACCATCAGCCTAACAATGGATCATTAGCACACTGATGGCTGTTTACTATTCACAGAGGGCTGAGTGATACTAGCAATCACAGTATTGTAAGAGGGGGGCAATTGAACACGTAGGCCCCCACCCCTGTTTAACGATGGACGATTTCTTTTCACAAAGATGGCCTCCTTTACTCCTCTCTCAAACCATCGTTCCTCTCTATCCAGGATGTGCACATCTTCATCCCTGAAAGAGTGACCGCTGGCCTGGAGATGAGTGTAGACCGCAGAGTCCTGGCCTGATGATGTTGATCTTCTGTGCTGGGCCATCCTTTTGGC